CGCCGCCACGTGTCGCCAGACTAATTAGAGCAGCTCGCAGGTGATGGCGCGTGGATGATTGAATAATCCGAATCGCCTGACCCGCTCGACCGAGAAATTCAATTTTCGTTCGGTAGTCGGCTTCCTAGCCACCTAGTTTCTCTTTTCTGGCAGCTGCTGCGATCGTTTTCGTGTCCATCCTTGCACTGCGAACGAAAAACGCATTGGGAATATTCGATGAACAGTCAGGGGTGGATCTGCATTAGGTTCGGATCATGGAAGTGTTCACGATTTTTAGAATTTCGTAAGACTCGAAAATATTATTTTTATCGAACGAACACAGCTTCTATTTTGTAAATGTAAAGTGCTGAAAATATTTTCTCTTCGAGTTCTACATTCTACATTCTACTGAATTAGAATTTTTCGGACAATCGAGCCACTGTTCCATTTTCGTTCGATTTCATCTCACGTTATGATGCTGTCCACTTCAACGTCGGATAAAAAAGCACGCCGAGTAGATCTATCCCATGGAAACTTTCGCTAGTCGCGAAATCCATCGCCGACAAGGTCTCACGTTCGCGGGAGTCAATGGAACGATATCGTCGTCGCATGAGAACGCGCCGCGCAAAAACGATAACGACAGCAATAATGAGAACAAGTCGAAAGGAGAAGGCGAACGGTCGAGCCGGACCCTAAATAAAATTTTCTAGACGATCGTGCTTCCGTGAGTCTCAGCCTCGTTTCCACGTCTCGCCTTCTATTTGCCCCGGGTATCGATGGAAAACTCAATCGGGCGTTTCGCTCGGCCAAATTTACGAGACGACCGTGCCAGTTCCAGTTTTCCCTCGTTTCTCTTCCTATTTCCGCTCCCCCGTCGCTGATTCGTTCCTTTTGCCTTCTGAAATCGGGTCCAAACAGCGATGGAATCAATCCAGTGACGCGGGTACTTATTACAGCCAATATGTAGCATTGCGTCGAAGAATCCACCGGGACGACATGGTTACATGAATATACAGGGTGGTCCACGTAACTCTTAACCCTTTGCATTCGAGAGGTGACTCTCAGTCACCATTAGGTTTCACGCAGCAAATCTATCAGCAATAATGTTTCTTTAGGTTTAATTTCTTTCAAACTTGGAGTGTCAATAAAATGATCGTCGGTGAGGTAAAGCTGACCTGATTCTCAAATCTCGATAGCTTAACATGCGTGGGAATAGAATCCTAAGAAAGCATCTCGAGTTGCTGGTAGATACCAGAAAAAAAGGCTTCGAGTGCAAAGAGTTAACAGCTCAATATCTCGAGAACAATGTTATCGATTTTAAAGTTCCTGGTCTTAAATTTCATGGATTTAAAGGGCCCTTTTACTTACATAACGCGAAGTGGCTCCCTCCTTTCCCTTTAAAAAGAGGCAAGGGTATCTTTATAATATTAAATGGAATCCCCTATGAAACGTTACATATTTAGATTGTACAAGAAAAAACAAGTAAATTTATAAAGAGGGGAAATTTATAAGGGGGAGCTACTTCATATAATTTTCGAGATATTGAGCTGTTAAGAGTTATGTGGACCATCCTGTATATATACATTTCTGTGTGTTTGATTTCCTCAAAAATTGAAAAGCATCGATAGCTCGCATAGAGAGAAATCACTATGCCAAATTGTATAATTTGTGTTAGTCAACTACTCCTGAGATACTCTAAACATCCTTCTCATTTGTAAAGAGTATATATATTTCACATATAAATTGGCTGCATTGAAAATTAATAACACAAGCTTCCAATAGTTAACTTAAACATTTTCGTCCATTAATCTAGTTATCTTCAGAAGAATAATACAATATATAGTACTTCCTATGTCTTTTCACCCTATAGTATAAGTATTACAGCCAAACAGAAGTTTGGTTTTTCTTTGAAATAAGTGAAGAAGAAACAGATTTAGATTCGCGTCATAGTTGAATGAATGAAACTTACTTGGCAGGATTGAAAACCACTGCGTCGAGGTTTCATCGTTAGAGGAGTCGAGAATAAGGAACCAACGGCGAAGGTTCGTTTAAATTTCTCGACGATTTGTCTCCCATTGACGAGGATCGTTTCAATATCGAAGACGCGAACGGTATCAAGCAGCGGTTACTTCCATTAGTGTAATGCAACCGCTTAATTGGAATCAGCGACGCTGTCTTTGCCCGAAGTGTCCTTTAATTATTCGATATCGTAATCGATCGTTCGACGGGATGCGCCACAGCTGTCACGTTTGCATTGGTACACTTGGCCACGATATTACAAGCTGTTGCATCTATAGGGAGAACAAAAAGAAGGGGAATGAAATATTCACAGAGAAGCTTTGTATTCAAATTGACCCTTGATAGTAATATTTACTTGCGGGGAACCGTAAGTTAACTACCGGCATGCAATTACTACACCAGGATTATATTTCTGGCCAGTACAGCAATAAATAAAACAAATGTTTAAGGGTATCTAACAATGATCATAACAATCTATTAATTAATTCAAATTCCGTTCTTCAATTTGAAATTGTGTTAGAATCGAATCGGACAATTCTACGCTGAGCTACGACACCTCAAAATTTCTTATTTTACAGACAATTATAAGAGAAGGACAGACGTAGTAAACATTGTAGTATTTCCTGAATGGCCCACCCCTCTAAATTAGTAAGACATAATAGTAAAAACATTGTAGTAATTAGTAAGTAAGACATAATAGTAAACATTGTAGTATTTCCTGGTTGGAAGATCCCTCGAAGGTCTTTAAAAGAGAAACATTTATATCCATTTATACTGTCGATCGATTTTGATGAAATTTGGTATACAGGGGTTTTTGAGGTTGCTGATTCCAAATCTGAACTCAGAATTTAGAAATTCTAAATGGGGGATCCAATGTAACGAGACAAAATGCGAAAACTCTGGCACTTTTAGAAGTGACGTTTTTCGACGCTTCTCATAACTATGAACATTTAAAAAAGTGTTTCGCTAATTTTGTCCAGTAGTTTAGATTCAGATGAAATATTTCTTTACATACTGTCTTCGTATGTTATTCATATCAACAGACGTCAGAAATGTATGAAAATACGTAGTTGATACAAATCTTCAATGCTCGCGGATCATGGAGACGGTTTTTCAAATGGAGCTCCGAAACAATATCAACATTATTAACCCTCTTTCGCGTACCAATGAATCTCGCGATTGCCCACGACACGGGTCGCTTCCGTTTGACGACCCCCAAGAACGAGATCGTAACTTCCGCCAGTGGATGCGAACCGTGACGAAAAATATATCCAGCCCTCGTAAATCCCCGTTAGCAGACAGTGGAGATTGCGTACAAGCGAAATTTCACCAACAGATCGGACATATAGCGGAATTTACGACAAGCGCGTAAATGAGGCGACGCGATAATGTACTGCACCCCCTCGAAAAACCGACAGGAACCGCGTAGATGGACCCCAGTCACTTGTCAACCGCAGAAATCGCGTGCTGTCGATAGAGGTACTACGTTTCTACGTATAGATGAGGAAAGTTTATTACGTATTATAATGGAGCAGATAACGCCGAAACTCGACACCATCGACAAACGTGTGATACCAGTCGACTACCTGACCAAAAAGATTCGAGAAAACGCACGAGACACCTATACAAACACCTATTAATCCTTTGCACTCGAGGCGAAGACTTTCTTTCTGGTATCTACTAGCAACTCGAGATGCTTCCTCAGAATTCTATTGCCACGAATGCTAAACTTGATCAGATCACCTTTACTTCCCCGACAATCATTTTATTGGCTCTTCGAGTTCCAAAGAAATTAATTATTATTGCTGGCAGATTTACTGCGTCGAACCTAATGGCGACGGAGAGTCGCCTCTCGAGTCCAAAGGGATAAAATCCCCAGAGAATTTACGCAATCAAAATTCATCATTCAGCATTCAAACAGATTCAGTCAATCAGTCATCAATTAAATTGGATGGATGCAAAATAAGGCCCACTCTAGTATACTCACTACAAGCATATAAATATCGTAGATACATTCACAAGTGATAGACAAACATAGACTTCGTAGAGCCCACGCACACACAGACGATAATGAACTCTCCTGTTAGGCAGAATTTACAAGCAACGTTATGAGGAGGAGCGACTCGTGTAAACGCCTGAGCCACGAATTTAATTGAAATCAGAATCGATAGGGTCAGCGTCACCGTTCAATGCCAATGGGCGCCGTTTAGGAAACGACTATAGGCTCGTTAATTTTATCGGTAGTTTAGCTCGAGAACTGAGGAACCAAATGCAGATCAAACTTAAACGCCTCGAGTCACGTAGCTTTTCGTAATGATATTTTACAAGTAATGCGAGGAACTATGGTATTGCTTAAGCAAACGTTTAGGCCACCGAAAGATCATTTCCCTCACTATGAGTGACATCACAAACTGTTAATAAATATGTTGGCTGCTAGGAATTATTTCCTCAATTCCATTCCATAGTATTAACATAGTTGTTAAATACATATTGTTTACAGAACAAACAGCTAAATATTCAGCTTCGTTCATTAACTAACATAATACACTTCGCTCTAACAACGATATCCAAATTATTTTCATGGCAACATAACAAAATAAACCTGAAAAAATTGTATTCTCATGAAACATGAATGTATGAATTGGAAATTAATTTTACTAGTTCGATTATAATATTAACACTTTCGCTGCGGATGACGCACATGTGCGTCCAACTGAGCCCTTGCCATGTGCGGATGGTTCTTCTTATTATTTTTCAGTTTTCATTTTTTTTTTGTTCGGCAATCATATTATATATAAAATAGGTTACCACAAATATATGTTTTTCAAAATAATCATATAAGAACATTTGTAAGAAATTTTTCATTAAAAAAAAATATCATAATTGCAGCTCCCAGCGAACGACTACTTATTTTCGTCCGCAGCCAAAGTGTTAGTATTCGATGAATGGAATTTGATGGTAATTATCAAATAAGAAATCACTCGATGGAAATTCAATTCCAGGTACCGACGAGCCATCCAGCTCGACTGTTCTCCTTCATGAACCCCCTGGCAATCGAGATCTGGCTGTACGTCCTGGCGGCGTACGTCCTCGTCTCCGTGACGATGTTCGTGGTGGCCCGATTCAGTCCGTACGAGTGGAACAATCCGTATCCCTGTCACGCTGGCTCAGAGGTCGTCGAGAACCAATTCTCGCTAGCCAACAGCTTTTGGTTCACCATCGGCACTCTGATGCAACAGGGCAGCGACTTGAACCCCAAGGTATGCTATTGTTCCCTCACGAATGGTCGGTTCCACGTGTACAATCACTGTGAAAGCTTTGGCAGTGCTCGATACTTTTAAACTCGAGCCTCTTAGGAAGAAAGTTAGAGTAAGTAGGAGTAAGACAAATCTGCTTTCCAGTACTCGACAAGAATCACGTAATCCTATGCGATCAAAGAAAAATACTGCTTGAGGCTTCTGAACTGAAACGACTGCAAAACATATTCATTTGAAGAAAATCCTTAATATCGAGTAGAAAAGTGATCGGTATGATCCGCTTAAAAATATTTAGAACAAACATCCTAGGGCTACATGTTCCCTGAAGTGTAATTCATCAGTGAGATTCATTTGGTTATTAGGCGACGAGTACGAGGATCGTGGGTGGCATTTGGTGGTTCTTCACGCTGATAATCATCTCATCGTACACCGCGAACCTGGCGGCATTCCTCACGGTCGAGAGGATGATAACGCCGATCGAGAACGCGGAGGATCTTGCTGGACAAACGGACATCTCGTACGGGACCCTGGAGAGCGGGAGCACCATGACCTTCTTCAGGGTAATTAAACGATGTTAACGATAACTTCGCATTCCTGAAGCGATTGAAGCGAATGAAGCATGGTTGTTGCTCGAATCACGAATCCCTAGAAATGTTATATTCATCTAAAGTGTACACGTTGTAAATTGCACGAAGGATTCGATGATCGAGACTTACAAGAAGATGTGGCGGTTCATGGAGAACAAGAAGCCGTCTGTGTTCGTGCCCACTTACGAGGAGGGGATCCAAAGAGTTCATCAAGGCGATTACGCCTTTCTGATGGAGTCGACTATGCTGGATTACATCGTGCAGAGAGATTGCAATCTGACTCAAATCGGTGGACTTCTGGACAGCAAGGGTTACGGGATCGCCACGCCAATGGGTAAGAGTATCTTTATTAATATTCCTATACTTTAAATAGCATAAGAAGACTGATATTGACTTGATGCTATCTAGTCAATATCCAAGGCATGAATCCTTTCTGGATCTCTTCTAGGCTCCCCTTGGCGCGACAAGATATCGCTGGCGATCCTTGAACTGCAGGAGAAAGGCGAGATCCAAATACTGTACGATAAATGGTGGAAAAGTCCTGGCGACACTTGCATGAGGACTGAGAAGGGGAAAGAGAGCAAGGCGAACTCTTTAGGTGTTGCCAATATAGGTACGATCGATCTTCGAATTCTCTATTCGAAAAGAATGTTACTGGAGTCCTCGAGCGTTGTTTAAGAGTTGATCTTTAGAATATCCAGATATTAAAGTAAACGTCTTAAATATTATTGCAGTTTGTGTTAAAGTTATGTATTTAATTGTACGAAATAAAATTTTCATCTCTCGTAGTCTTCTTGTAGTCTTCTTGTAGTTAACGTGCAGAATTCGAGTACATCCTGTGTAATTTATTAGAATACTATACAACGAATGAGTCTGCTTCACAGTATTGCTTGCATCGACACACGTTTGTTTCGATTTCGTCTCGCACTACTTTCATTTTTTCAACTCGTCCATAGCCTAATAAGTTAAATGAAACTTTCCAAAGACAACGTCCCGACCAATGTCAGGGTCGACAAATTTTTACATTTGCTTGAGGATGAACATCTTCTGCTGCATTCTAGGTGGAGTGTTCGTCGTTCTGATGTGCGGCCTGGCGTTCGCCGTGCTGATCGCCATTTTCGAGTTTTGCTACAATTCGAGGAGAAACACGCCGGCAGAACGGGTGAGTCCGACGAGAGAGAAGAAAAATTTGTTTAATCCTTAACCCCTGTGCTCTTTTCTCATGGTCTAGATACGATGACTGTATCTAAGACCTCTGCGTAGTATCGAAGGATTAATTATAAAATCTCCTCGATGCAATTCTCCTAGCACGTTCCCCTTGCCATCTAGCGAATCGTCGTGCGAACGATTTGCAGTTTGACCGCGGAAAAGAAAGATTTTTTCCAGACGACCGTCCGAAGCACGATGCATGAGCTTTAGGGTCGCATGATTTTTCTCAATTTTGTTCCATCTCGGCCGCCGTGGGTTTTTTACGACGCAGCATGAGCTCATCCTCCACTGAAGCATGCCGACTCATCGCAAACGCACGAAGCTCAGTCGTGAACCAAGGTCCGTTTTTTGACATTTTCATCGGTGACTTTTTTCCCTCTATTTTGATGTCATCTTTTTCATTCATCCCATCTTTACGATTGGGTGACGGATTTGAAGAGGAAACATTTCTTTAAATTAAAATTGTTTCATCCAGATCCCATTAGTGACTTTATATCGAGGCAATACTATCAAGAACGCGTCCAAGTTCAAACGTGACCAAGTATCTTTTCCTCCAAGTTACCAACTAATCTCTAAGTTCGTCACCCTGTCGTAAATCCTTGGACGCGTGTTCGTGCCAGCTTTGTTTCCACGTTGATTTGTGCGTGTACAAACGCATGTGTCAGTGAGTAGATGACCTACGAATCGCGAATTCCGAACCAGATGTTAGATTCCGTTTTTTGAGTACGTTGTTCATTGCGATGATCCGGATTCAGAGAGCTCCTGTACCAACGCCGGCCTGTTCGGGTTCTCTGCAAGGGATCTCCCAGTCCGTGCAACAGCAGCAACAGCAACAACAGGCGCCGCAACAGCAGCAGCAGCAGCAGCAGCAGCAACAGGAGTCCCTGTGTTCGGAAATGGCGCGGGAACTGTGCCGCGCGTTGCGCTGCCACGCGTCGTCGCGACGCCGACGCGCCTGCGAGAAGTGCTCGACACACGTGCTCGGCTATCCGCCGGACAACCCCACTGCCACCCCCCTCAACGGGATGAGATCCCAGGTAAACAGCTGTAGTCATTAGGAAGACTATGAAACGAGACAGAACATTTAAAATGTTTATGCAATCGAATTTATTGTTATTGTATCGAAAGTATTTTGAATGAGACTCTGTTATGAAGGCATCGGCGAGGTTTCTCCGATGAAAATGAGTTCAAACACGGCCCCATTCAGGCTATATTAACACTTTATTTACCGAGAGCCTATTTATAAACTTTTTAATTCCAGTATTTAGCTTTTTGAATTTATTTACTGTTTTGATGGTTGTCTACTTATAATGTTCAACGTTTGGAGACAGACTTGGCTTTCAATGTACCCAGTAACAGTATGGAGGAATTATTGTTAGCCTAGATTGGCATATGCTACTGCAGAAAGTTCTTTTTAAATTAAAGACTGTTTCTAAATAGCTCGGTAGATAAAGTGTTAAATCATTCATAAATATTATTATTACATCGTTTATATCTTTGTAAGAATATTATCATTGAATTAGAAAAATTCTCCCAATGAATATGAGTCCAAACACGACATCATTCGGACTACTTTTAATTCTACATGATTCGCATAATTTCTTAAAGACCATCGACAACCTGTAATTAAAAATAATCCGAACAGGGTCGTGTTTGGACTTATTTTCATCGTGGGAATCTCGCCAGTCCGTTGCTAATACTTCCATAAGAATAATATGACAAGAAACTTTTAATAATAATGATGAATCACTGATAATAATTTCTATACCACAGAGAAGCAGTCTGGGTGTTCCCACAGTCGAACTGCCGCCACACATCCTCATGCATCATCATGCACCACCGCCGCAACCGCCTCACGATTACGACGGAAATTAACCACGACTATCTTTCACACCTTTGTGATCACCTAGACGTAAAGCAGCGTAATAAAGATAAGGACGAAAAACTCGTGAAAAGAAAAACACAAAAAAAAAACTTAATAAATAAAATTTACAAACAGACAGAAAAGCAAGTACAAAACGCATCATGTGGCACCGGACGGAAAACAAATCGACGAGTTCGTTTCTTCGTATTTCTTAGAGATCGAGGTAGAATCCCGCAGCGAGTGTCGCGTTGCGAGTATTATTCACTGAACGAACGTTGCACAATTCCTCCACGAACGTTCGCTGGCGATTCGACGGGCAGAGAACCTATCGTTTCATCATCTTCGCTCCGGAAAGAGCTTTCGTCTCTTCGCACCTTTTTCGTAGAGCTTGCAACGACGATTTTTCGCACATCATTGACGACGGATCGATCACTCGCAAGGAGGGCCTACGATCGAGATAAACGCAAAATGTAGGGAATATGATGTAAACGAATTTCAGAATTGTATTTATGTGGCATTACTTACTTTTATTAAATAAAAATAAATGGAACTCTTTACTGCGTGAAATTTTGGTTACTTTGAAGTAGATTGAATTATGAGTATGAATTAATCTCAGAAGTAATGCCTATTTTGACTTTCTGTTTATTGAGCGAATTATTGTTATAAATCTACTTGGAAAATTTTAATATCTGAAGTTATTTAACGTTAATAAAAACAAAATGCGTTTGTCACAATTGTAAGCTCCCCTTGTAGACCTCTATCGACGATCGTTCCACATTCTTCTTGCAATTTCTCACCTCTCTTGAGTAGAATCCAGGTATTTGCTACAAACAGTAGTTTGAGAAAACCGTGTTTTGAAAAATATAGAAGACAGTTAATCTCACTTATATCGCTGAAAGTTTGCATCTATGGTCTATGCGATATCAATTGGCTGCTCAAGAGCACTACCCCGCCTTTGTGCTCTGCATTAATTGTTATTTTTTCGTGAAACTTGTATGTTATTCCTAACATTTATTCTGCCGAATCTATTAAATTTGTATTTTTGCATTGTGCTACATTTAATTCCGTAATCCTAATTTATTTTCTATTCATTATTTCAAATTTCCATTTAGATACAAGTTTTATCCATCTTTGAAGAGAGGGAGTAACCTTGAGTGGCCAATATACTTTATTCAGACCACAATTCAGCTATATCGAACGAAGCATCGACGCGATTTTGTGATCACGTTTCTTTTTGCGTTCATCTGAACGAACTGCACCGTACGATTCCACATAATGGCCACCGACCACCGAGGACATTTGTGTAAATACCGCGATGGTAAGCGCGAAAATAGACTCAGCGCTAAATATTTTAACTGAGCGAGGCGAGCGAGTAAGTGTTTAGCGTTAAACGAGTACAACCAGGTAGACGTTTGGTGTCATTTACCGTGTGTATATGCAGATAGACGGCGAAATAAATTCATAAGACCAGAAGATCAATGTCCCCCCTCTTTAATTTCTACCCTTTCGAAATTTATCATTACAGGATTCATCCTACTCAACTTGGACAAAAACGTTGGTATAGCTGACAATATCAATTTCAACTTGAATTTCTTATTAAATGTGGAATTAAAATTATTATTAAATCCTACATTTTTACTTTAATTTGCATAGACAACTATCTACGATAAATAAGAATTTAATTTTAATTTAAAGTTAAAGTATCGAAATTAAATATTGAAGTTACATTTGAAATTAAATTTTAAATTTGAAGAATGATATCAGAAACACTTTTGAATGAATATAACTGAAACAATAAATACAATTTCTTCCTGTTTCGAGGGTAATGGAAAGAGGTTGCCTTGGAGGGAAATCGCCTTACCTTCCACTACTTATTTCAATTACTGAATCAGACTCCACTCCCGTATAATGTGCTCCACGCTTTTAAGGAATTAAAATGAGACTTGGAAAATGCAAAACGTTGCAAGTGTTAGAAGGTGTCGGATAAACAAAATATAAAACGTATTACGAGTGAGATAAGAATCAAAAGAAACAAAGTGTTAAGTTGTAGTTAAGATCCTATTATTAAATATTCTGTTAATTTTTGAAATTTGTAATTAATCACGAGTCGCCATGAAATTCAATGGCAGACTTCCTCTTTCTAAAACAATGGTTTCTAAATATTTTTGAAGACGTTATTTCAAGAAAATGTTTGTTATATTTATTTTAATTGACTCAAAATTACGATATCTTTAAAGTGATGAAATTTCTATGGCCACTATTGTGTATATGTTCCCATTTTATTGATTCCAAATCATATAAATTTTCTTTTTTATCATATATTTTCTGAATTCTAGCAATATCTTTGAATTAGAAAGAACAAAATAAGAAGATTCGTATATATACATATTTATTTGTGTTTCGTCAAGCCGTAAGAATTTTATCCAGTATAAATAATAGATTTTGTTGACAGATTATAATACAGTGTATACGACGAAACCTTATACCTACGTTTGCCACGATAATCCTCATGCTGGTCATCCTAAAAAAATCTCAATCTTGTCTTATCCCCTAAGTGGGCACCTTACATAAAAAACAAAACCAGGAACGGAAATGGATATCACACAGGAACATCGAATAATCACCGTCAACCTATCTACACCTATTTTTTTTTTTTTTTTTTTTATATAACATCATTTATTAAGGGATAAAATAAATGACAAATAACATATCACTTATATGAAACTATAACATTTCTTAGAGTGTTCATCATTCGTTATGATATAAAAGAAATCACATCACATACGACCCTCCAACGTAACTCCAACGGTCGTTCCCAGCTCGAATTGCGTGTGCCCGACCCCGCGACGAATAGTCTCGACGAAAATCATGTCTTCTCGAAAAGATCGAACCTAGAGAACTCCCCGTGAATCGCGAGATCTCGACGGATCGAGACCAGAGACGACTGGCCACGGCCCATGATAAGATTAGGCGTCGACCGCGTCGCTTAATCGAATCAACGTGACCATCGATGTTACTTTGCCTAGTCGCCTTATGGAAAATTCTCCACGTTCGAACAATATAAAAAAAAATCTCTCTTCTCTCTCCTATTCCCTTCTATCTCTGTCGTTCGAAGTCGCGAGTTTAAAAATAAAAAAAAAAAACAAAGAAAATTATGAAAAACGTCTGACAAAAAGGTTAAAAATATATATATAAAAAAAAAAGGAAACCATAGGCGTTCGCGTGATCGAGCGGGATTCGAGCTGACACGATCGTGCCCTTCGCTACTCCAGACACGATAGAATAATAATAATGTATAACCGACTGAATCCATTTGGAAGGGCCTATAGTCAAATCACTTGTAATTATCACACGATCGTATTCGACGCGGTGGCATGTAAATGTTGTTCTGTTCGTTATTATATATTCCTTCATTATATATATTTTTTTTGTTTGTTTTATCATCAGTTCCCCCCCTCCCCATTTTTTGTTTATCTTTCGCAAATATGCTTTGTGACTCTCGGAGGTGGCTCTCGAGCTCGCGAATACGTTGCGCGACCAGCTATGCGAGCTCGTTGATATATCTCTCGTCTCTCTCTTCGAAAATTAAACAATGAAAAGAAAACTAAGAATACAAAGAATAACGATACATGTGTATGCGTGTTATGTACGTATGCGCGTGTCTGTGCCTCTGTGTGTGTGTGTGTGCGCGCGTGCGCGCGCGCGCGTGTGTGTGTGTGTGTGTGCATATGCGTAGAACAAATGTCTCGTTCCGAGCTTCGCTCCCATTCGTCTAGTTTGTAGTAATCGCGCGTCCAGAGTTTGCACTTTACTCTAAGTACGAACTCTCGACGCGCGACTTACTTGTACATTGGTCTTGTTCAGAGATGGGCAAAATTCTTGCGTGGATAAGTTTCCTAGTAAGGACGATGAAACTACTTTCCAATTGTTAATCGACGAATAACAATTGCAATTTGAATTATAGAATTACATACTGCAGAATGCACGAATACAAATTTAATCGAAATTATAAAATACGCTAAATTGTACAGGACATTTAAATGATTTCGCTGCACGAAAGGGAGAACAGCCTTAAACCGTATTCCCACTAATGCCACGCGTGCAGAACAGGATTCTAACACCAATTGCATGCACATGAAATGTTTCATGTTGAATACAAATTTTGCCCATCTCTGATTTTGACTACCCCTAGATCTCGCTACCATACACATTCGTCGAGGCTACGAAATTTCGCCCAAAACTCGGGCACGAATCATGGTTGACTCCCATTCCGCGTATCAACAAATGAGAAAGAAGCATCTGCTGAAGCTTCTGCTACGAAGATCTCTGTCTTTAAAAACGCAAATTAAAAAAAGCTTCTAGACGTTCTGGTTCGTGAAGACTTGATTAAAGCGTCGGAAAAAACGGGGTTTTGAGAAAGAAGAACCAAAAAAAAAAAAAAATAAATGAAAGATCGCAGTTTCGCCGTCAAAGGCTTTGTCTAGCTCTCTCCCTCTCGCGATAACTCTCGACGATTCTCTTTCTGTCTACTCTAAAAAGCGTCGCGCGCTCCTCCTCATCCCTCCCGACTACTAGAAAGCTTATTACTTATGAGATCAGTCCGAGCACACCTAACTCGTGCTGCGGACACCGCGATTTTTCCTACGAATCGTCCTCTAGGCGTTCTCCTACGGGCTCTGATCCCTACTTTTAATCTACGTGGCGATTTTACAGAGACGAACCGAGGAAAGAAGAATTGAAAAAGACAGAGCGAGGAAGAGGAGGCGAAGAAAATGTGAGAATGTCGATGATAGTAACTCTCTGCCTTAGAGCTGGAGGCTTAAGCCACATTCCCACCTGTGGATAAAGTATAAAATACAATAGCTTTGAAAATTATTTATAAACTCGAATATTTTCTCACTTACGGTGCAATGGAATATAGGATTAAGCCACATTCCCACGTATGCAACACGATGTATAAAACACGATTCACGGACTACTATAGAAAATACATTTTAAATGATTCAACTATTGCACTGCGTATTGCACGTTCAGAAGTATAAATTTAAGCCACGTTCCCACACAATGCATTCGAAACCGTTGTTTAAGCAGTTTTTAAGCTAACTAAATTTGATTGAGAATATTTTATAAGATTTACAACCGTTTTCTGAAAGAGACATTAAACACTATTAGAAATTGTTACATTTATTATTTAGAATATTGATTAATTTGTAGACGTATGAATAACCAAAAAATAATTTCCTTTTTAAATTTGAAAATATAATTCTAACTTCACTGAAATGTTAATTTCATTCCTAGATGTTTAAGTAAGCAAGAAATAATTTCTCCTTGGAAAAATAAGTAAATGTGCTGTAAATTGCATACATGGAAATGAATCTTTAGCCCTATTCAATGACTTCAAGTAGGAACAATCTACAAATCTGCTGTACAAAAATAAATTCGAATGAAAGCTCTGAGATCAGCCTCGACGATATCTCTTTGGTCGGATCGAAAAAATTAAAATTAAATTATGTTAAATAACTTCACTTCTACTTCAAATATTTTAACGACGATTCTTGGACTAACGCGCGATTCTTAAAATATTATCGACGAACGCTGAAGAGAAATCTCGACACACTTTTTAACCCCATTATTTACTTTAATTGAAACTTTCTGACTATCCTGTTTTTAGGACACTGTGCAATGGCCTGAAGCATACTTGTAAATCTCTGCATTCTCCAATACATGTACAAACTCTGTTTCGAATAGACACGTTAGAAGGAAGAGGAAAGAGATAACGAAATTATTAGAACGCGTAAAGAGAGATAATGGCAACCACAAATTACACAATTTTCGGTACGATAATTATACGTGAAATAACGATCATAGTCCTTGCGACAATGTCATACCCAGCAATACCTCGGATATTGATGGAACTTGCTTCACTGTAAATGCTCCTTATAGAAGGCAAGAAGTTATGTTTCATCTCAAGAGTTCGACATTGATTCCCGCCAAAAAAATTCTCTATCCTTGCTTCGTGCGTTGATAACTATTCTCGAGCATTACTCGAGACAGTGCTGCACAGTCGTCGAGACAGAGGTATGGACGATTAGTTGCGTAGATTATTATACGAAAAATCGTGAGGTTTGTGGTCCCCGCAAGAGAAGATGGTAAAAAAAACAGCGAGAGAAAGAGAGTCCCGAAGCTGAGCCCGGAGGGAAACGAACATCGAAGAAGTGTGAAATACTGTAGGTTCGCGCGGCTCGTCGAACAACCCTCGACAACTCTAAAGACGAGCTTGTGACATGGCTGTATGAAAACACGTGAAGTATGAGAGAAGAACGAACAAAGAAAACCGCTCAATGGCGTCGCTCTCGTCCCCGAACCGGGATCGTGCGAGAGCGAGGCGCACGCCTTCTATAAACTCTCTTCAAGTGATATGTGGGGGACGTCGTTTAAGAGGCAAACGCGTCGCTGTTGGTCGAAAAGTCTCTCGGTGTAAGTGTGTATCTGTACCAGAAACAGGCAAAATTCTCACCTAGATATAAAAGTGACTCGACTCTCCTTGGATAAAAAATCTCCAGAATCCGTCGCGTCTTAGATCAAAATTACAATTTGAAATATACTTCAAACGAAATTCTGTTTCCTAGTTGAACGAACACGGACTCGTCTAAATAACCCGATGGAATAATTCGCTATATGGTGCTTTCATCCATCATCTATCGATCGAATCAAACTTTGCCCATCTCTGGCTCGTATGTTTCTGTGCACGTGTATGTCTATGTGTTTGTGTATTCGTTCGCTGACTTTATCACATTCAATTCGTCGACACGCTCCCAAATACATCTCTCGATCGCGAACCAGATGAAACAAATGATTCTAAAAAGACGAGCACGAACGAGGGAGTGATTTGGACAGCTCGTCTAAGGGTGATTTCTCATGTGCACACTCGTCTCGTCGACTGGTTCGCGATCGCGGGTGATGGCGCTGCTCTCCTGGAAACACGACCGCTCCGAATCAATATACAATTAATTTCAGAGCGCGCACATACACGGTTACATAATAAAGAGACATTGCAATTACAAACACTACACGTATATCTCCCATATCGGTCTTTCTTTCATTTCTTTTGTTTGTTTGCTTTGCTTTGCTTTGTTTACTTCTGCTCGGTACGCATCGATACATCACGCACTCCTCTTTTCCTCTCGTAATCGTTAAAGTAAATACGCGTCGTATGCACCGATACGCGCACACACTTTGCTTTTCATTATTCATCTCGACAATACGTATATGTGTTATACATCTATATTATTATATATTTATATATAATATGCGATCACAGACACGTGTAATTCGCGTGTAATAGAGTTTTGTTTTCATTCTTTTTTGTGCCACATTCCTCGTGTACCGTAACGACTTAATATGGATTTGATTTGTTTAAACAGCCTCTCTGTACTGCCCGCGCGTCGCGCAGCGAGCCGTCTTTCTACTGTTGCCAACCGTTTTGGTCATCGAAGGAAGGGGCGAGCACAACACAACGCGTCGATTTCCACGTTCCCTCCTTCGCACTTTGTCTCGTTAATGTTTAACACGCTAACGCGAAAGGCATGACAATTCGTTGATAAGCGCGCGCGAATTCATCGATTCAGGGACGTTTCCCTCTGCCTCTCGTTCGTCCCTTCGATTGGTCCTCGCCGTTTACACTTTGTCGACGTCTGCAAACGCTGAACCCGTTTTAATTTCAAAGTTTTAATTTTATACTGTGCTCTGTTCATATTCAAAAAAGTATCCACGAACTCGTAACCCCGTCGGAGATATCAAAGATGGGGTAATATTCTTATCTAGATAAAAGGATCCAATAACGAATAGAATATAAACAATTCATCCATTACTCGCCGAATAAAAATGATAATTTAGCCAATAGAATAAAATATTTCACAGTGCACAAACAAATATTTAACGTCACGAATAAACTGCCATGCTTTAAAATCAGCCCCATCTTTGCGAAATGCCAGACTTGTACCATCGCTAATTACAATTCACATGTTTAAACTGCAATCATAGATCACAGACTCCAAATTTTTCAAGGTGTTGATTAACTAAGATTTGTGATTATTTAATAATCATAATGAAGGATTGCATTTTACCGAACACTGTTACAGACGATGGTCTCCCTGGCAAAGAGAATTCAACGACACAACGTCCGCGATGCGTCGACATGATCCAACTAACGCTCTCGAGCAAACTAATCGTCGCGCAATCCGGTTGGCACCAGTAGCGCCACGATCCATCGTAAATAAACACAGCCGACTGGCATTTGTTGTCTCTCCGCGCGCACGGACGACTCGGTTGCACGTGCCACACGTGCGCGCGCAGATCGTCCTACGATCTAACATTTCATTTATCATTTCGCCTATTCGCTGCAACAATGACAGTTGATAAATCACGATTTCCTGGACAACTATTTCGAATCATAATGTTGTTAAAATATCATATTAAAATAGCAAATTAGTATAACAAGACATAGAACCGAGATAAAACTATTTCAATATCGTCATTCGGTGCCACGAATTGCTCGTACACCGTTCCTTGTACACCCGCAACGTTCAAATTTACAACGAACGATCTCATCGATGCAGCGAACAAGCGACTTGTATTTTCGACACACGGATACAACGAAAAAACGAAGGTACACTTTGTCGTTTATATTATAGCTTTCTTCGTTATACGATAGTCATTGAAATAAACGAGGTTAAAACGTATATGTATATATATATATGTACAACGCGAATCGCGTTCACTAGCGCGAAAGAGAAAAATTCTTACTGTCTCGCCCGAGGTTCCATCCGTCGTCTCTGTTTCCGCCATCTTTCTCTTCCCGGTTGAGACCGAACGCGAACGACGAACGAACCGAAAAATCGCACGCGATGACTTGGTCATCCTCGGTTCGTCGTTAGTCGCGATTCACCGTTGTAACAATTAATCGCGACTATCGACGAATCGTTTACGTATATAAAGTGCCGCGAGGAGTTGATTACTATGCGCAACGGATGATCCAATCCCTCCCTCCCCCCCCCCCGCGCGCGTGTGCAATTGCTCGTACAGACGCGAATCTTAAAAGGAAAACGGAAAATAAGTCGCGAAACATGAACCAAAGGGGAAGCATCGTCGAAGGAAGAAAGGAAAATAGAAAAATGTAGCTCGTGAAAATAATTTTAACGAGTGGTTAGGTGTAGAGCGTGGGAGGAGGTGTTACCGGGGGGGGGGGGGGGGGGGGGCAAAAAACTAACAGATCTGAAACGTTAACGAAACGCGCAAATAACAATCTACTACGATCTCGCGAACATAGAAAAATACGAGTGTCTATTTACAAAACAAACGAGAAATCTCTCACTCTTATGCTTGTATCCCTTCTATCTTCGTGCTTTCGCCACTCTGCCTCTCTCAAATCTCACCGTCGCGCGTCCACGTTTCTCCTCCATCAGAGATCACACGTGACGAACGACACTGGTTGTGCACGCGTTCTCCAAAATGGCGTGCGCGATCGCCCGTCGCGATTAAATATCGAAAGCTCGCGTTGTCTCGACGATGCGTATAAAAACTTTTTTGTGTCCTGTAATTCCCCCGAACAACGTCATCTTTAACGTCAACTTCTCGATCGAGTTGTCTCTCGTTACTAATCCTCCGCGATCTTCCTTCTTCGATTATTATAGCACTGACTCAACGAACAAAGTCGTCCGAGGTCACCATTGACGAACAAACGACGAACACCTCGCAGAGAACACTCGCAGAGGACTTGATGATCCAGTTCATTATTTTTTTTCTCTTCCTCTTCATCCTCGGTTGACGCGCTTGGTACGTGTGGTAACGTGAGCTTTTTGTTTCTGTCCTGTGTTGTATGGTGTGGGTGTTGCGTGTGGTCGTGTGAGAATATATAATTTATATACTTGGGTGTGAGAATCGGTGTCTCGTTCGCTCGTTCCTTCCGTGCCGTGTGCAGAGTCCGCGAAGACGCCTCGCGAATCCGTGGCGCGAGTTATACGATTAAAAAAAAAACCAACGACAAACTGACTGACAGACAGCAAGTAGACGAAGGGAGCGGCGCGGTCCTCGCTTAGGTCATGTATCGCATCACCGCGCGGAGCGCGTACAACAACTCCGCTTGCATTCGTGCCTCCAAAATCATCAGGTTCACGTGGACCTGAAAGAAAAGAACAAGTGGTTAGTAAGTGATGCAAAGGTAAATTGAACATTAAATCTATTTATGCGGAGATGTAGGGACGCTGATTACTTTGGATTAATGGTTCTCAAACTTAAGATAAAAAAAGATTCTTTTTAAGAATTTTTAATTCACATAACAAATAATAATGTTAAACTAATAAATAAAACTTTGGATGTATATCTTTAATCATTTTTTTTCCATGATTGACACGACAACTTTTTTAAAAAAATACACTACTTCTTTAAAGTCAGAATGACGTAACGTACAAATGCAACAGCAGAATCAGCCTTGTAAATGTATGTGGAGTTCAAAATAAATTGCAATTAATGCAGTGTCAACACAGAATGGGAAGTGTGATGAATATGTTACGAGTATTAAACAATGTTCATAAGTGGACCACGGCTTGAGAAACATTTAGCCAACGAACAAGACTATCAACGAGTTCTCTCAATATGTAAAGCAAACAGCTGACATAATAGTATCTTACTCGAAGCTACGTTTCTTTTACTTCTCATGTTTCTCTTGTTGGGGGGGGGGGGGGGCGTGTACAGCTCTGAGTCACTAGATTTCTGTACACGTGAAATGGAAAAACGTGCGAACGTGCGAAAAGAAGTCGTACGTAAACAAGGTCGGGTGTATCTATTTTTCGGTTACGTATGCCCGTTTCACTTAAGAAATAATCGAGCAACACTATTGTTCGATATGATAAACGAATCGTTACAGATTCTTATTACCAGTAAGGACGTCAACGTCGTAGAGATTTTTATAATCTGCTTCCACGCGCTCATTTCGATGTGTAAATGTGTATATTTCGAGTGCGATTAAAAATGACACCATACGGCCAATTAAAATAAATTAAAGGAAACGTATTCAGGAATACACTGATATTCGGAGAAATGGATTCGAATGTTTGCACCAAAATCTACATTTTTAATTGTTCGTTGTGTAGTACTATATGTACTTTACCTACTCGCGAAATGTAGACGTTAAATAGTGAAAAAAAAATATTGGTATGCTTGTAAATATACTTTCATATGTAAATAAAAAAATTAGTGATTTTGAAATGACCTTCATTCCAACCTAGAAACTTATGATTTCCGGAATGATAAAAAATAACTATAGATTTGTTTGCTTTTAGGTATTAATAGATACTAGTAGTCGAAAGGAATGTTCTTTATTGTTTTGGTATACGATGCCCTTGCTCTAATTTGCCAATAAAATAAAGAACATTTCTCACGACCACTATCTATTGAAAGCTTGTCTTTGATCTCTATTGCCGGAAAAGAATAAAATGTATAGTTCCTGAAATGGTTGCGTTTATAGACTAAAATGCGCTGTGTATCGGGTGTTTCATTCTGTTGTGTCTGATTCGGTATAAATTACTGTCACGTAATATTTATAAACTTACAGAAGTACATACTATATTTTCTCATATTGTTTACTTGCATTTAGTCACATCGAAGTTTCGATTTTACTTTTCCATCGAGTTGGCGTTAATATAAATGCAATTACATATTCAGTTGTATCCCACCTATATCGTTAATCAGGGTCACTCAATACCCACCTAAGCGGTTACGTAAGAATTAACGTAAATATTTTGGTACGATTTATTTTTGGCTACCAATGTATACTAATGTTAGGAGCAAATAAATGTATTTAGGATACTTTCATTACATCGAAGTCCTTGATTATAAGAACAGAAACGTATATTTATGGCAAATATAGTTTAGTCTGAAAGTTGTTATATTAAACTTTTTGTCAAAAAATGATGTTCATTGGATTCAATCTCTTACTTTAGTGCTTTCCTTCTGGCTCTCACATACCTCGTATCCCAAATTACTACAATGATAACATATCGTGGCACCGATCGCCGTATCTCAGCAGCTTTCTAATAAACGACCTCTCCAATTACTCTTGAAAGACGTATTTGAAATTGATTACAATTCTGATCACGTACAAGAAAAAAATACGGCCATTTTCCTGACTTTAACCTTTCTAAGAACGTTATATGGCCCCTCATTGTTAGTCATTGGTTATGAATACAGATAAATGTACTTGTTTTACATTAATTATATTAAGTCATTGGCTGCAAGATAAGGTAAATCCATTTACGATACACGGTTCTGCTTTTATAACTAGCGAGTAAACAAATTCTGGTAAACGTAATTATTTCGCTCTGCCGATTGACAGTTACACTAATGGACTTGTACAAAGATTCGAGGAAAACTTGGAAAACGTACAAAAAGATAAAGACCGCGTGCAACGATTTGTCTATTATGTAAGCTCTCTCTAAATAGCTGTGAGGATCAGCTATAAGGATTCTGCTATAGATCAACACAAGACATGTTGATAGTCGGATACCAACTTTTCCATTATACCTCAATTGCCTCGCGGTATAAGCCTAACGAATACATTACAAACAACCAGCAAATAAATTACGCTGTCACAAATGAGAATTATTTCGATGTACCAACTGAGAAATTACGCTATTGGACTTCAGTAAAGATAGACATGGTAGATGCGTTAAAAGACAAAATCCGCGTGCAACAATTCGACTGTTGCATAAATTCACTTGACGTAGCCAAGATGATCACCTGCTAGGATCAATACAAGACATATCGATATTCAGATAGGATCTTTTCCACTGTGTTCTAAAACCCTCGCGATTATCACGAATACATTTGTCTGCTCTTCGAACTAACTGGTAAATAAATTATTCCGACATAAGTAAGAATGACTTCACTCTGCCAATTACGAGAGATACACTACCGAAGTTGCATAAAGATAAACTTGGAAAATGTTTCTATTGTATAAATTCTCTTCAAACAGCCGCTAGAATTTTGCAGTAGACGAAAACAAGACATCTCGATATACAGATGCGATGAACTCCCCTCACGATATGACCCTTGCAAGTGCATTTATCTACCAGTTAATAAGCAACCAGTGAATAATTTATTTTAATAGAAGTAAGAAACATTTCACTCTGCCAATTGAGAGTTGTTCTAATAGACTTCCAATAAAGACAGACTTGATACACGTGCTAAAGGACAAAGACAACTTGCAACAATTTGTCTTCCGCATAAAATTGTTTCAAACAATTCTGCCGTAAATGAAACCGAGTAATCTTTATGATTAGATACTAACCTTTTCGCTATGCTTGAATTCTCTCATGACGCGATCGTAATCTCTCTTGGTGACGCGTTCTGGATAGCACACGGCGCTTTTGATGAAAGTCTTCAGGCTTCGTTCGAGGAGCTGATTCACCTCGTTGTAATCGTAATCGTCGTGCCTGATACCGAACATGCACTGAATGTAGTTCCAGATGGCCCGCCTGAAACGCGACGTATCCACCCTGCTGTGCGTGCCCATCGTGAAGTACGTCAGATTGTAGGCTGTCTTGAACTTGTCGTCGAGGAGGTTCCCGACGTCGTTGTACAAACGGTTCACCAGCGAGTAGCCGTGATCGTCCCACGAGTAGTCCTGCACTCGAAAGGTCGGTATGTCGTTCAGCTGACCCCGCTGGAACCAAGAAAAACAGATAAGATTACACGTGTTTGTCTCGAACAAGGCAATTCGTTCTTGCTCCGCTCTTTTTCCAGAGCTCGAGTATACAATCTGATCTTTGTCACTGAAAAATTAGTACACGTGTAGATGAGCAAGATGTTTCTTGCTTTTGCGAAAAAAACATTTTAGTTGTCATCTTTATTCATTGGCAACTTTTTTGAGTTGTTTTGACATTTCTTTCCATGCTCTCGGCATTTTCCTATCTGAATTATTTCGCTAAAGTTTGATCGCATTAAATTTGGGATTCTTCTAGCTCGTTCTTGACGAAAAAATTGCGTTTCACGTCTGAAAGCGCCAGACTGTCCCCTGAATCGCGTGACCGTTTAAGGTTAAGCGATTGGCTTCGGGTAGAGAGATACGCACGTGTCGTCGCGTCGTAAATATTCATGGTATCGACGGTGGAAACGGCGATCGAATCGACGAACTTTAAATATTCATCGGGGAGTTTCAGCTTCGCCTTGAAATGTACTTTCGAATAGAGCTCGTAAAAACAGGACTGAAAGACTGAGAATAATCCTCCAATCCGCGTGGCCGAGTTAGCCAACCGGGCTTGCTCGAAACGACAGTTTTATTTACCCCGACTCCAACCGTGGGATTATTTTATTATCGTAGTCTTGCAGAGCGACAAGAGTGCCTTGGGAGGTGCGTGCTCCTGGTCACTATAACAACTGTAAGGGATGCTCGAAATGAAGGTACATCAGAAGCGAGACTGGACGATCAAAACTTTTAAAAGAGGGATTTTTTTAATCATGGAATATTGTATCATGTAAACTAGCGAACATGATTGATTAATTGTCGATACGGTTTCGGTAGAATTGATAGAGCTACTTCTAATAAAATGGAGTATGGGAAGAGACAATATCATGGACAATTTTTGACAGTACCGATGAGCAGGGACGGAAATAAGCGGGAGCGTATCTGTCGAATACATCTGTGTGTTGATGCTTTGAATTTCGAATCTCAGTTACTTGTGGTATTAGTTAACGTTCTATATTGGAAATTAAAGGGTTCACTTTACACAACGATTCACAGAGCCTGGTACTAGGGATAGGCCGATCAAAGGGTCCACTAGAAGATCCAGGAGAAAACCGAAGGATGCCTCTCTTAACACTTTATTTACCGGGAGCCTATTTATAGGCTTTTTAATTGCAGTATTTAGCTTTTCGAATTTATTTACTGTGTCGATGGTTGTCTACCTACGATGTTCAGTTTTTGGAAACAGTTTTGGCTTTCGATATACCTAGTAATAGTACTATGAAGGAATTATTGTCAGCCTAAATTGGCATATGCTACTGTAGAAAATTCGTTTTTGAATTAAAGACTGTTTCTAAATAGTCCGGTAGATAAAGTGTTAAGAGCATCATAAACATCACTCATAGTCAGAGGGTTTTTTCACAACTGACGCGATCAGCTTCTTCGAGGATAAAGAAAGCAACTTCATCGCTTCACGCGAGTATCTGGATCAAATATTAGCTAAAATGATCAATTACCTTGGCGAAGTCCTGGTAGATGAAGGTAGGATCCTCGATGAAGTGTCCTATGTCGGAGTCGAGGACAGAACTACTCCTCTGAGGCGCTGCTGCAAGCTCCGCGGACTGCGTCTCGACGGTCTCGAATCTCTTCGACAGCTCTTCCTGGGTGATTTGGTAGGATTCAGACTTCTCCGACAGGCGCTTCATGCGCTCCATCAGTGCCTCGACGCCCACCTCCTGATCGCCTACTATGCTGGGCGAGGATGGCGGCGACGACATGCTTTCTGCACAGATGGCAAAACGATATCTCGTTATCGAGCTGGTCAATAAAATTAATCCGCTGACATTGGGGGTCGCGGCTGACTACTGTAAATCATCGATAGACAATAGGATTTCGAGTAATCCGGAGAAATGAACCAACCTAGACGCGACTCGAGTGGGAGAATGAATATCTGTTAGATGGAGATTCTGATAAAGATGCGGTTTGGAATGTATGATACACTTTTAATCGGGTATCCCGGACATTTATCGGACGTTATCTGATGTCTAGTTAAAGCAGAAGAATTTCGAATTTTTTTTCTAACACAGTCTGTAAATTCTAGGAATCCTATTAAACGCCGGAAATGTTCTTCTCGAATTAATAGTTTTATAACAAAACTATTTTTGGTCAAACGATTGAAAACATATAGCAAGAAAATTAAACGTAAACTAGGTTAACATTGTCATAACGAATATTCATTGAATCAATGTTATAGCTGAAGTATTCCTGGTACCATATTTTTTTTAATATAGCAAAAAAGACAAGAAAGAACATCCTCATCTAAGTTACATAAATGAGTGCAAATAACGATAATAATACGTTGACCTGCTACAGAAATAATTCATCTCACGTTCGTGACCAGGTAAAGAGGTCCATAGTGATCTAAAAGCAAGAAAGCTTCTCGTATACTTACACCATGTACAGCTCAACAAAGTTTAATAAGAGTCCCGAAGGTAATGATTGAAGCGTTGATAAGCGAATGGCAGAGATGATCCCAGGTGATTAAACTATTGTCTAGACTAGTCTAGACACTCTAAGCCTTATAGTCTACCCGGCGAGTACCACCTGACAAAGAAGACCATCGAAGAACGACAAGGACAGACGTGAAACTAAGCCCAGAGATGTTATTTAACTTGTAGAGCTACAGTCGTGGCAGTAACCTTCAGGCTAAATGAAAATAACGCATAATACAATAGCCTTGACTCATCTAATTGCTACAACCTGTCTCTCATATTCATAAACACAAATTTTCAAACGGCTACGTATAATTGAAACCATTTTAACAGCTGCTGGACCGCAACTATGTACATCTAACTCTCATGAGAACAGTTAAACGAATCTAAGCGAGTTAACACCGTAGGTTGACAAGAATTAATTGACGGAATCAGAGACGATAACTGGGGACGTAAGTTTTCAGACGATAGACTCACCAGTCTTGCCATCGCCGTTGAGAATCTTCTTGGGACTACTGGAAAGCTTGTCTTTGGCAGTTGGTACGTTATTGCTATTCTCTTGAAGATTCTGTTTGTAATGGTGGCCAGCTACGTTGTCCAGCTCCTCGTTGATACCGCAGGAGAAGACGAAAGACGAGAGGGAGTGGAAGTGGGCCAAAAGGACTATCGCGTGAACGACCTCGGCTAAGGACCAACTGTCCGCGCCTTTGGTCAGTTTCTGAAACACCGCAACAATCACTTTTATGCAATTCTGGGTAATAAATAAGACTGCGATTGGTCGACGTTCCCAAGCTCACCTCTATGTGCGTTTTGTTCAGCAACCATGGCCTATGGGCTAGAATCTTGTTAATCTCATAGAGATCTTGCAGTTTTCCTGGAATCGATTTCAAACCCCGCAGCCACGACGGATCGCCACCCTGGAGGATGAACTCTCCCTTCTGCAGGTTTATTAGATAGCTGCACTGGTGTCTACCTGCGGCCTAAAAACACACGAAACGTTCGAATTTGGTATGCATTTTTTAAAATTATATTTCATATCTTATTTATAATAGATTCGAAAGAATTATTTCTTTATAGCATTGTTTATTATCGACATTTCTGTTATTTCGTAGATACTGTAAATTGGTACTGTGTCGCATAGTTTTTCATCTATAGGGTATCTTGTATTATTATTAATAATATAAAATTCAACGTCTGCGTTGTTTGTGATTTCCCCAGAACACCTGCTACTTCTATCTAATCCATTGTATAAGCTACTTAACTGCCTGCAATTACTACTGAACAATATTGGAGCTTCCATTACTCGAGGCAGACAGCAGGGAAACCTTTTGAATGACAATACAATTGTCTCAAAGAATATCGTTTACAAAGAATTCCGTAAATAATGGCGTATAAAGAAAAATCCATACACAACATTATACAAATAATGTACTTTATGGCCAAATTTTACAAATAATATAAATAAAATTATTCTAATATAAATTCTAATATAAATAAACGAAAGTCCAAAAATATGTTTAAGAGAACATACTAGTTGCAAAATTATTATTAAAAGCTTGTGTGAAAGAGAGAAGGTTGTTCGTAGGACGGACAGACAAACGTTGAATGGAAAAACGAGTGCAGATGAACCAAAATTCGTGATGAATCGCGGGGAAAGGGGGTAGGGGTGGGTGTGGGAGGAGGAATAGAAGTACGGAACTCGATCTTCTTAATGGTTTGTTTTGATCGCGCTGGAATTACATCAGAAATTCAAATGCCAACGACTACCATTGAGAACGGGAAACAAATAGGTGGACGAACAAAGGTCGGAGAGGGGCGGAGGGGAATCGAGATGCTAAAGCGCGTAAACAAGACACGTGTTTACCATGCGGACCCGGCGGATCGATCGACTTCGAGGGCCGCGATAAGCGATAAGAAACGTTCGCAAACACGCTTTCAGCTTCATCGTGCACGCGCCTGGAGAAATTTTGTAGCTCTGGTCCGGAGTCGATAGGTTAAATCGATTCCAGCGACGATAAAACCTTTGGGACGGATAGAAAATACAAACTGCGAGAGGAAAATGCCCTCGTCCCTCTGGAAACGAATTGGTTTAGGAAGGAGGATTCGAAACGCTATTGCAGGTGACTTTCCATTTCATTGGGAAGTATAGTAATCCGAGAAAGTCGGGAAACACCGAAACGAAATTATTTTCTGAATTCGTCCAACAAGGAAAATCAGAATTTGTATCTTTGCTGAATTGGTGTAAATATTAGATACTTCAGTTTTAATCATTTTTATATAGAATTATCAAATTTCGAGTAATATTCCTTTCATTCTTTTTTTTTTCTTGTTTCTGAATTAATCTTGTTAAGTTTTTATGACAATTAAGCCGGAACGGAGTGCCTCGTGTATACATAAAATATCTTTAATGTGAATTTTTGTTAAAAAAGATAATGTGCTCTATCTAATCACAAATTCATTTCTATAGGCTGTAAAAACTTGAAATATAGTACAATATCTCTGACGTTATCGGTATGCTCGACGAACTATATTATTTCGCTTCAATTCCTTACACAGACTGCACACTTCTAACGTGAAAGTACCAAAGAAACTAAGTGCCAAAATTAATCAAACTAAGATTATTTCACAATTAAACGCTACACGTGCCATCTCCAATAAAAAGAAAAAGATTAAGCATAAAATAAAAGCAATTTCAGTAAAACATTTTCCCTCTATAATTAAAAATACTCTTATCTGACATGTTTCATTCTCTCATAGTTGATACAATTCTCATGCATATTTTTATTAATCTTGGAGAGTTAAAACAAAAAGTATCGTTTCATCTAGAAGATGGAACCAACTATAATACTTTTGGAAGCTAGGTGTATACGTATTCGTACGTGTTTTCATAAACACAAGTGCATCGCTTTCTATAGGACACCTTTCGCATAGTTCTCACGTCGACTTATGATCGCGAGAAGCACGCAGAGGATCAGCGAATCGCGAGAACGAGCTCTGATACGAGACGGGCGCACCAGGTGGGCTTGTTTACCGGCAGAAAAGCTGTTTTTCAGATACCTTATCGCTTTATCACGCTCCTCCGTGTACCGACTGCCAATCGTCTTCCCTCCCCAACTGTCGAGTAACTCGTTGCTTTCGACGTTCGCATCTCCTCTCCCCTTCCACCCACCCACCCACCTCCCATCCCACCTGCTCATCCATTTTTTATCGTACTCGACGAACTGTTTTCGGTCGATCGTTTCGAACGACGATATTTCGTGTATCGACTACTGACGTGTCGCGAACTGTTATCTCCAACGATGATATCTGAGTGCCCGAACAGATTGGATGTCACGACCGAGGAGGCCAATCTTTTTCCCGTCGAAAAAGAATCGATTTTATTCTTATGCATACTAACTTGTGTCTTTGCCTCTTACTGTTTTGCTTGTGCAGTGCTTTGATTTTATATCGGTTTGTTTTTATAATACTACTGGACTGTTATACTGCTTTGCTTTTATACTGTTTTCCTTGTGTAGTGACTCGATTTTATATTGTTTTGCTTCTAAACTACCTTGCTACTATATTATTCCGCTACTATACTATACTGTGTTGTGTTGTGCTTCTTTCCCTCATTGCTTCTATAATGCTTTGCTTTTTCAATACTTCTATATACGATATTTTCAGACCAATTGTGAGAAATGTAAACAATATTCAAACCAGAAATTATCCTATTGATATTAATACGAGTATTAGCATTCGTATTTACTATTGGTATTAGTATAATACCAATTGGCATTTATATTATAATCTCGACTTGTGTGTGTTTTTTTTTTACACATTAATTAACACCGCGAGTTATCACTGTTTAAATTGTTTCTATTCCATACTGGCATAATTCGATCTATTCGAAGGACGTTATCCCAGACCAATAAATGTATCCAGCTACTTCATTCAGCAGTCGTATCTGATGGACCGCAATAAGTAACACGCACTCTGGTAACGTAATCTCTAAATTCTTTGATCCCACGCGTGTACTATCGTTTGTCACGTGCCTCGAAAAAGAAATAAAAAAATAAGAAAGAATCGTAGATTTCGACAGTAACAAAACACAGACACTAGAGCTAAATTATTCGTTGACGCTATAAAATTAGCCTTCGTTAAAATTTGAGAAGCAAGTATATTTGTTCGATCACTTTACACTAACAAGAACATTCGTACACGATATCCTATAAAATGTGGGAGTAATTTTAACAATGCAACTACGACAAAAAACATTGCCGTTTGAAATTTCTGAAGGTATATTCGCGTTAAGGAAATTGCGAAAACGTTTGCAAATAGTTAGCAAGAGCGTCCATCGGATACGTAAACGAGGAGTTGTAAATAACCGAGCAGAATCAATTACACTGGCGCAGTTTGGAATCAGAATGATTGTAAAACTAAAAACAGCTGCGTCTGGTAAACAAAGTCAGATAGAGCAAGCATTTATATGTGTTGGTGATTACGACAGTAGTTTGTCATACATTTACTACATCGCATGCTGTTACGCATGCATCGCAAAATATTAACTTTTGTTTTCATTCTTCGCTCAGAAAACTTACGTAATTGCAAGCAAATTTAATAAAATACCGTGTATAAAGAGTATTAAGGATTACATCAGGGCTAGTTTAACGTATTATTAAATTAAGTTGAGATTACTTGGAATTATCTTCAATGCAACTTCCCAATGAACTGATAAAAGTTCCAAATCTAATATGTATATTTATTTTCTTTTGTATTTTCCCGTCTCCATTATATTTGCGACTACATAGACCGATGTGCATCTTAGAGTAACGAATTCACTGCATCTAGCTTCTGTTGTTTACGATATAAAATTGTCATATTGCACTGATGCGAAAGATATTCGCGAATGACCAACCAAAACTGTAAAATAATATTAAAATAATATCACAATTGCTTGTTCCTTGTATATCGAATAATTTTCTGCAATGGAGACACAGTGGGTTGACCAGCTCGTCGACAAAGTAATTTAATGGAATCGAAGTAAGAAAATAAATTTCCCTTATTGCTATTGTAAATTGCCCAATTCACGTTGACAGATTTTCCTCGTACAGCCACGCTGTCCAGGAAAAACACTGGCAACCATTGCGGCGAATTAAATAGAGAGAAAAACCAGACGAGCACTCACCATAATGGCAATGAGATGCCTGTAGTCGTATGGAAGCGGTCCGTCGCCCCTGAGGATGAAATGTTGGGTACGGAGGAAGTGTTCCAAGTACGAGGGATGCGAGGCCATCACCCTCGAGACATGATCCAGCCTGTTGTTCTGGAGGAACGCATCCATCAACAGGATATGCGTCTGTAAACAAAAAAAAACAATACATTGGTCAGAGGTGTCTCGTTAGCCTCGAAAATGAAAATTTAGAGATGAAATCGAATAAAATAATCGATACATGACGAATAAAAACATTATTTATCAATTCATTCGCTAAGTTTATTCCATTGAAATAATGGTTTCATTCGAGTAAATGTGAAATATAATTTTTCTTTCCAACAGTGAGTTAAATTACTATCGACAGGAAAGCTTGTACGTACAAATATAAAGAGAGCAATTTGACCGGTATAAACAAGTATTTATTTATATGTGTATGCGTATAATTATATGGCCTATAAACATGAAATTAAATATGTAAGCAGATAAACATGTGACGTAACATAAACCCGTTTCAAAAAGTAGATAAATAAGTTTACAATTCAAATTATATTTTTTTCTTTTATATCGAATTGTTCAAATGTTATTGGTTATTTCACATTTTTATCTAGATAAGCCATGTGCCCATCTGCGAGTGTCGGGGACATCAGGGCTAATTAATTCTCCCCCTCTAATTGCTTTCACGTTGCATAGCGTTTCCGCTTCGTGTCTCGAAACCTGCAGCACCAGTGCTATGAATTTCAACATTAGAAAGTTGGTATCTGCGCGACATGATTTTTCAGCGACTCGTAGAACCGTCACTTAGTTACATCTGATGACCATGAAATCGACATGAAAACTACTCAAAACTTTCCGAGAAATGAGTCGTCAATCTATTATCAAATTTTAATTGTAACGATAGAGTAGCATGTTATTTCTTCTTAATTGTTCCATTTTAAAAATGAGTACATTGAATCATTCGATAGTACACGTCTTGCCATCGATGTTAGCGTGTCGACATCAATGTAACGACCGTAAACACTAATCGCATAATCGTATTAAATGACTGGTACTCGTTTGTTCCGCGTCATGACGAGGTAAAGAAGAACTGACATTGAGTCGGTGGGAAACGATCCTCGAAATCAGGTGTTATCGTTGTATCATACGTCAGGTGAGTCAGACGCATCTTACAAACCGATAACGCTCTTCGCCACATGCACAGACGTATGGAAAAATCCCCATTATAAAAGAATTCCCTGTGTTATTCCTGTTTCTATAAAAATAAATTAGCAGGACATTGTATCTTAATCAACAAACTAAACCTTATCCAACTATTTCATTTTTAATTTCTTTCATCTACTTTTCCTACTGTCTCAATACGTAAACTTTCAATCTTAAGATTATAAAAAACGAGAAAATACGAATTTTGAACTGTTACGAATATCAGTTGTCCTAAACAATTTAAACTTGTTTGTCTTGAGTTATATTTTATAAATACGAAATTAAAATTGTATGTACTAAATTGGATTTATAACGATACGAGATAAGTTAACAATTATCGAGTAGGGTAAACAGTTTTACAGTGAATTCGTTTTATAATCTATAATTTTATAGTAATTTCTATTGAACGAAAGAATGATCGAGGTTTGCAGTCTTTGATTTATTACACGAAATTGTTATCTATATGAGAAGTTTGCCAGCTCGTCCATCCAAACTCGATTCACGATATAAAGCCGTGAAACCGATAGACGTGCTGGCGTCGCGATGTTCCCGAAACGCAGATGCGCGACCTCTAAACTTAGATCTTGCATCGTGTCGTCTCCCGACACCCTTTCGACGCTTGTTCGTTTTTCTTCTCGCTCCGAAGGGGGACTACTCATTTTCGTACAGCTGCGCGATGAGTAAAAGGTTTTTTCCTCGTTTCATATTCCTCTTAGCTGGGTAATTTGGATAATGGTCGTATGTAAAGATTAATTTCTCTAATGCCCAATGTAACAGATTTGGAACATGCATGTACGAATGGAAAATTATGTAGAAATTATAAAGAAATTTTGAAGAAATCTTCTTGTAAAGAAATTGCTGAGAAATGAAATTTGTTATCATTTTATTTAAAAAACTTGAAACTCTGACATTCTCCCTAGTGTATCTATAGTGCTAGACACGTAGCTATGGACACACGTTAATTATGCAATATACGAGATATTTCCGTTTTTAATCAAATTTGAAGTGTCAATGAGTACTAATAAAATATTAAAAACTTTTACATGTCCTCGAATACCAAGTGTCGTAATAATTTCATTTCTATATTCTAATACCGAATAACCTAATATTAGAATAGATAACAGAACATACATCCGAATGCAACAAATTTCAATAATTTAATATTACAATATTCCATAGGTACTCGAAAGCCATGCATATTTCAATAATTCAATATTAGAACAGTTTATTCTGCATTCCAATATTAAATTGCCTCGATAATCAGATATTAGAATATTTCACACTTACAGTGGATGTAGAATGTATTCGTACACCGTTCAATTCCTCAAAAAACTTTTGTGTGAAATTGTAGTTTCTTGACTTCTTTTTTTGTAATCAATGCTATTTTACATATTCTCGGAAGTCTCTAAGATAGATATAGTCCAAACAACATTTACTAGTTAATATAATTTGTGAAATTAACAAAAAAATGCGAAAAGTGGGTAAAAGTATAGAAGCAATAATTTGTACGATTCTTATAACGAACCATTTACAGTAGAGTTTGTAACGTAAACACATTAATTTATTGCTCCGTGCGAATTAGAAAACATCAAATTTCCAGTAGAGTACTTTTAAACAGTTGTACGAATACTTATTGGTTCAACATTTCTATCGATTAATTGTTTTTTTCTTGTTAATTTCGCAACTTACATAAATAGCTATTTTTTATTTTTTATTTTTTTTTGTAATCTATCTATTCTATAGATTTCGGAGAATATGTAGAATGTCATTGTTTGTCAAAAACAAGTTAATAAATTACAATTTTACACAGTTTGTTTTAGAAATTGATCGGTGTACGAATACTTTCTACACCCACTGTAAATGTTGTAAACACCAAGCACAAGTGTCACCATACAGTTAATTTCGTCAGTTTTTAATCATTTAATATTCGACCCTAATTCTAACCCTAATTGAAACACGATCCAGCTTGAGTACGAGCACAATGGGAATAATAATGCGACCAGTTACCGACCTTGTGACGGGTCGACGACCCATGCGTACAAATTAAACGAGAAAGGCATTTCACTAGGAACGCAGCTTTCGCCGCGCGGTGAATATGTAATCGATTCGCGTCCGCGTTGATCTATCAACGCAAGGAGGATCGCGCGAGCCAGCCCGGCGTATCGGAGGCTCCCGCGATCAAGAATATCAAAAGGGACTGGTGTGACGAAACCTTACAGGCGACTACGGGCAGCCATTAATCTTGTCAATGGAAAAGTTTCACGAACGCCAGCCTGTGCGAGCTTTACGTTTCACGAGAACCACTCCCTCGACCCGCGTATAATGCTACCCAAAAGTCTTAGTATACCTGGTGTTATTAACAAAGCCCCTATATCTGGCGCGGGTCAGGAATTTTCCGCTGCTTTTGTTAAATAACGATCGTGAGCAAGTGCTTATAGCGTTTGGAATGTGAAGGATGACAATTGATTTCATTTTCAACCGCAACAGTTGTTCTAACAATAACTGCAATAATTGGCAATATCTTTTTTAAATATACGTACGCGTATATATAATATATTTCCCTTGTTTCTGTGAATTTATAATTGTGTTGCGATAGTTGTTTGCAGTTGCTCAAATGGAGTAATGTTCATACGAACAAAATAAAATCACCTGTAACGTTAAGCTCGGTAATATTATTTTAAATAAGGTTAATGTAATTGCGGTGTTTCGAAACCTTGATGTGGATCTCATAGGCTTCACTATGAATACGTTGGAAAGGTAAAAGGTCGATCAATTGTATTCCAAGAAGAATGCAGAGATATCACAGAAGTCAGTGTAAACAAAAATGAACTATAAAGGTGGTCAAATTAATGGAGGTTACAATCAGAAAATTGTATGGACGAAATCGATGGAAAATATTACCTTCTGTACCTTTCCGCCTACAATTACCGTTGAACAATATATTTACTAAATTTTTAAGTACAATTAGAAAGTATACCGAGCTTTTCGCAGGATTCTATATACAGACGACCACTTAATTAATTGATTCCGATTGGGTAACCACCTTTTATTTATCGCTAAATTTTTCGTTGGAGTCCAGTTACAACTGGTTCTCGAGGAGGGTGTTACGAAACGGTGCTACTGTTCCAATCGCTCTAGCATGAACACCGATCCGTCTAGTCTGAGACAGGTTCTACGACACAAACAGAAGACCCACGCTTAGGGACTCGACCATTATGATTATTCGAGTGTGTTTGCCCATCCACTCGTTCGTCACTGATTGCCGGAAACAACGAATTAATAACACGATGGAGAATCGAGCAATGTCAACTCTCGAACAAATCTTGTCCGGAGCTCGAGCGAGCCACGAAAAACGGATTTCGTTTTATTGTAGAGGTGTTTACAATGAGAAAATAAGCAACGATAAGAGGCCAGCGCATCTACCTGACAGGCTTAGTCATCGGTACCTGGTGGCCTTCAAACTTTAGAACCGTATCGGCGTTTTATCATCGATTGTTTCTATTATTTTCGAACGACTGCTGGCGCGCAACATGTGGAAATTATTAAAGGACCCTAATGAGTCATCCGTATGGACACTGGCAAACGAGCTTCATCTGGAATACACTCCCAGTTTCTGGATTTGTTCAGCTGATCAATTAAAGAGATGCTTTTTGAACCGAACTCTGTAATTTCACGTCACAAGGGAATATTTCTGTACAATAAATTAGTAAAAATGATTCGTGAAATTAAATAAATTTAAAAAATAAACTTAAGGTTGAATTTCTGGCACGATATACCGAAAATTCATTTAATAACAACACACGTCAGTCATTTATTCCTTCTCGTTCAATCTCAAGATCTTGTTTCTTCGTCGACCCATTTGCTAAAGAACTGTGCACGTATTATAATATTATAGTCGTAGAAAAGAATTCGACCCTGACGAGGTTAAGTAGACAAGACCTACGGAA